TTTTAATTTGATTTTAGTCTTAGTCTTTTGGCTAAAAATTAATTTTAGTCTTAGTCCAATTTTAGTCATTGGATTTATTTTAGTTTTAGTCCCATTTTAGTCGACGAAAAACAAGTAATTTTAGTCGATAAAAATAAGCAATTTTAGTCAACAAAATGCATATATTTTTTCTAATTAAGTAATTTCATACTTTTGTATAGAGCACGGAAAAACTAGTGTAATTTAATACACAGGGTCCAAACTCTTAACCACCACTGATCAGATATAGCACACACAGCTAAGAACATAGAATATTTGAATAAAAAAACACTTCACATGTTTAACACTTAAGTGTTTAATAAAAAAACAAAAAGCACACTGGAAATTACAAAGGTGCTCTTTTTAGCAATCCTGTACATCCAATCCATGTAGCGATAGCCTCTTCTTTAATTTGTTGTTCTTTGGCATCACTCTTGTACTTTGTAGTACTTGTAAATGCGTCCTCAATGTTCTGGTTGGACATTTTTGCCTTTTTGGTAGCTGGTTGGCCACCATCAGCAATGGTTTTCTGCAACTGCAAAAAAATAAAAATACACAATTAAAACATTGACTTTCTAACAATGATTTACCTGTTGCTTTTTGAGATTTCATACATTATATATATATATATATATATATATATATATATATATATATATATATATACACACACACACACACACACACACACATAAACATCTGTGCGGGCTCGGGACTCGGATCATATTAGTGCAAACCAGACATTGTGAAAATTATAAACAGCCAACAGCATACTTCACTTTACTGGTCTAGTCCTGGTTTAGAGCGCACGTACAGCCAGCGGCTGTGACCCAAAAAGTACCAGAACCACTCACGGTGCATGCGCAATCATGCATCAACACTGCTCGCCCGCTATTTCCCTAATAACCAGTGTTGCCAGATCCAAAATCCCACAATATCGTACAGAGAGGCTTAAATTATCGTTTTTCAGTACAAATTATCGTACATTATAAATTTGATAATAACGTTCTATAAACGACTTCTCACTCCAATATAATATAACAAAGAAGGTGTTTTATATAGCCCTGTTTAAATAAACATCTTTAAAACCAGTAATATAATGCCTATAAACGTGCAGAGTGTGTCGGCACCACTCCGACCTCCACGCATTGACACAAGATGCACATTTGTGCAGTCCTATTTATGTCATTTCTACATAGGTTAAACGCACGCGACAAAACATCACAGCAGTGGAAAAACTGACCCAATAAATGACAAAGAAGCCTACTCACCTAGTTGCTGATCTCGATCTCCTCATCTGATTCACTGTCTGTCGCAGCAGAATGCCTTTAATCACCTGTACTAAGTGGTCTGTGCTTCTCATTGCAATGTTGTGCTCGGCTAAAAAGCCACATAGCTTGATTTCAGCATTTTTCACATCATTTTCAAAGTTCTCTTTTTCATTAGTTTGCTGGAGACAGTTAAGTATAGATGTCTGGTTTGGCCCAATGCATTTTACCCTTTCTTTGTGTTTAGCTCCCTTTGCATGATTCTAGAGAACGGTGATTTCTGATACCATCTGGATGTTGCAGCAACGACAGAAAGCCTTGGTTCCGTTCCCCGTAACAGGTGCAAGCCATCCTTTGAAAATAGGGTCCAACTCCCACGCAGGACGATAAACTTGTGTCTGGTGTTGCTTTGCTTTCCCTTCATCCGTCACTTCTCTGGTTTTTCTTTTAAGATTAGAAGCCATTGTCTCGTCGCTCTGTCCTCCTAGCTTAGACTTAATTTGGCGCGCTCGCGGGCAAACAGCAAAAACTGGCGGGCCACTGCCACATTATATAACCTTACAGTTTCTCGCGAGAGTAGGCCCTGTCGATGTGATTGGGCTATTTATAGTACAGACCCAGAGTCAGTTTTTGTAATAGACACAATAGCGTAAACCTGTAAGCACTGAGGTGAAATCTGACTTCAGAACAGTTTAAAATTCTGTAATTGAGTTGGGAAAGCCACAGCAAAAGATGGTGTTACTAGATGCAATGTGAAATTATCGTACATTTGAGGATTTTTGAAACTATTGATCGTACATCGTACAGAGCCCAAAATTATGGTACAAATACGATATTTATCGTACATCTGGCAACACTGCTAATAACACACGTTATAGTCATGAAAATACGGTACTTCTGAATTTTTATCCCAACATGACAGTGTTGATACAGTTTTATTTGCCTGTATATTACTTTTCGGGTCGTCACGTGTACAACATTTAAGTGGATTTACCTCGGAGAAAATGGCGAAGTGGCCATTCTGTAGATGCCTCTTCAGATTCGTTGTGTTCTTTCCTCGGAACGACAGTCCACACTCTCGGCATGTAGTCTTGGTAGCAATGTTATCATAAGAAAAATGACTCCACACATCTTCTCTTCTTTTTCGCCCAGCAGTTAACATTTTCCTCTACTCCTTCTTCTTATGCCGTCGATATATTCAGTGAGCTATGTTTAGCACACCGCGCATACCTGCCCCTTTATACTATTCAGGGTCTGTCTTCTCTCACGTCGTCCCGCATGTTCACGGCACGCCACGCCCCTTGTCTTCTACTACGTTCGCATCTCACAACAACACAATAGTCGCACCGCACCATAGAGCGCCATGTAGAAGAGCGCCATGTAGAAGAGCGTCATCGTAGATTTTCGTCTCGTCTTTCATTCGTTGACTAAAAGTTTCAATCAATTTAATTATCGTCTTCGTCTTTTTACAAGCTTTTATTTTGAATTTTTGTTTCATTTTCGTCTGTAAATATATTTTCGTGACGAAAAAAAAGACGAAAATATTTTGTCAACAAAATTAACAGTGGACCAGACGCTTGTTTCTCCACTCCGGTCGAGGCGCGCCTCGTACTTTTTCTTTTAACCACTTGGTGTCCTCCATTTCCTTTCTGCCTTTTCTCTGCTCTTTTCCTGTACACCCACCTCCCCCTTGCTGTTTGTGTGTGTGCTTGTACGTGTGTGTTTGTACGTGTGTGAACCGGTTGTTAATAGCTGGCCTATGACTTTCTGCCTCTCTATCCTGTTTGCTCCGGTTGAAAGACACCCAAAACCACACCCCCTACACGTGGACACACACACACACACACACACACACACAAGTTCACTGTGTGTGTGTGTGGTTTTTATGCAGTGTTTGTTTACGAACACATTTGACCATCGCGGAATTGTATTTTGAAATGCTTTATTTAGTTAAATTTACCGGCCTGCCTCTTCTGTCTAGGTTTGACTTCCTGCCAGAATTGATGCGGTTCACTCGCGGCTCACGAAAAAAATAGAGCAGACACCGAAACGATCGCTGCACGGCACAAGCTGGAGCGCGCCGGCGCGCGGCGCTTCGGCGGCCCATGTGGTCTGTAGAATAGGATAACAAGGGCGCCGAGTGAAGGCGGTCCCCGTTTCGTGGCGCTTCGGCGGCCGGTGAGTCCTCGGCGTTACTCTGCTGTGGTGTCCTTGGGCAAGACACTTCATACAACTTGACTGCGCTGGTGATGGTCAAAGGGGCCTATTGCGCAAATGGCAGCTTTGCCTCTGTCAGACCACCCCAGGGCAGCTGTGGCTGTGTCATAGGTTACAATCACCAGCAGTGTATGGATGTGAGAGTGCACGAATAATGGAAATAACTAGGGATGCAACAGTACCACCTTTTTCCAAACCGATACGATGCCAATACTTGGATCCGAGTACTTGCCGATACTTCTACCACACAAAAAAACACTATGAATTGGAATGCAGGTTTTATTTTCTTCTCTGCTATCGACAGGAAAAGACTGTGAGGTAGATAAAAAGTAAAATATGTTAATAGAAATTATCACAAAACTAAAATATTAGGTGAACAGAAATGACAAGTTACAGTGAAGCCACTTTCAAGCAACTGCATTGGCATCGGTTACTGGTATCGGTTAACTTTTACCAGTACCGATACTGGTATCTTTATCTGTATCTGCATCCCTAGAAAAAACTTTAGGTGCCTTGAAAAACTCAATATATATAACTAAACCAATTATAATTTGTATTATTATTTTAATGCTGAGCAGTGCACTAAATTAAGATTCAACTGTTTGGTAAATTTGGTAAATTCGGTGTTCCAGGTTTAGAAATGCTAGCATGCTAATGCGTCTAGTTATTGGCCCAAAAACATCAGCAGCATACATCAGACATCGGCTTACCAAGACCCCTATAAATCAGCATCGGTATCGGAAACATAAAAACCTTCATCGGCCTTTACTCTAGTGTCTGATCTTGTTTCACTTTCTTTATGCTAACATTAGACATCACGTTTTAAATTATTGTTTCTGCATTGCTTCAATGTGAGATATGAAACAAAAACCCTTCAAAACTTCTCACAGAACGTAGCCTTTTTATTTATATCATTACATTATTGATTTAACTAACCCAAACTAATGTCTCTGCCACCATGAGCTGTAAAGCAGGTTTAAAAAACTTCCCAGGTTAAGAGTTTAACTTGTGCAGTGTTCATCTCCCTCTCCCTCCTTCCCTGACATAGTGCAGATTACTGCTGTTTTCCCCAGGAGGATGGAGGTGAAAACCTGAGTGATGTGCCCCGTCAAGGAGAAGCCCTCTCACTTTTACACCACTATTCCCATTGTGCTCCCAGTGGGAGATCCCTGTCATGCGATGAGCTGGTGGCTCCAAAGAACTGCAAAGGCACTAAAGAGTCCCTGGCAAAGGTGAGGCTTAACAGTGTTGAATATAATATTTTAGCCCATAAAAAAGGTCTCAGACTATGTGAGAAAAAAGAACTTCATTTTTGACTATTTGAAAGCTTGTGAAACATCTAATAACTAGATGTTTACAAAAAAGTGTGAAGTAGGTGCTGGAAAAAATTAAATCAAGACGTTTTCCTTGCAAATTGACTTAATTGTTCATAATTCTCTATCTGCGCTATCTGATTCACTGGAGACGTCTTTCTGGGTCTGGTGCTGAGTCACTTACTTTAGGAAATTGCTTGACTGGAATTAAAACTTTCTGGCCCAGTTTCATGTTCTTGTTGATGACAACATCAATGAACTTCTCCTCGTCCTTGTCCTCGTCTCTCTGGACTTTTTCAATCTCTAGAAAAGAAAAGCAAAAAAGAACAAAAGTCATGAGGTGATATTGCCAAGCAGTAGTTTTGGTGCATAGAGTACAATGGGCAACTTCATCACCAAAAGTTTTACTGGTATAACTACTATAATACCAAGTAACCTAAGCTGAACAAACAGGCTCTTAGTTTTGAGCCAATACCATTCAAATCTACATCCAATCCATTCCAATTTTATTTATAGAGCGCATTCACAAGGCATTACAACCAAACAAGGCGCTGTACACTAAAAATGTTGGTTAATTAAACAGGCGATATACAAACATGTAGAACACAGATAAAAGATAAAAAGGAAATACAACAAAATTCCCCAAAGCTAACAGCTAAAAATCAATAAGACACAGGGTGAAATAAAAATTAGAAAAATATTTCAAAAAGAACCTCAATAGTACGGAAGTTGATAATTGTAAAGTCCATTTTTAAACAGTGCAGATGTAAGTGATGGTCATAATTATGTTGTATAAGCTAGGTTGAAGTAGTGAGTTTTCAGGCGTGATTTAAAAATGCTAGCTGTTGGTGCTAGCCTCACTAGCAGTGGTAATGCGTTCCACAGCTTGGGTGCACAGACAGAGAAAGCCCTCTCTCCACGGCTTTTTAAACGTGCATTGGGAACAGCTAGGAGGAGCTTATCTTCAGACCTGAGAGCACGCGGCGGGTTGTAGTAATGGACAAGTTCACACAGATATGGAGGAGCTTGATGGTTCAAGGATTTGTAAGTGAGAAGCATAATTTTGAAATGTATCCTGAACTGCACGGGCAACCAGTGGAGAGATTTCAGAATTGGAGAAATGTGTTGTCTTCTGTCAGCTCCAGTCAGCAACCTAGCTGCTGAATTCTGGACCAGCTGAAGTCTAGAAAGAGCTGCTTTACTGATGCCATATAAGCAGGAGTTAGAGTAATCCAGCCTTGACGTGATAAAAGTGTGGACCACGGATTTCAGAAGACGGACACTCAGGATGTGCTTTAGTTTCGAGATGCGTCTTAGTTGGTAAAAACATGATTTAACTGTGTTATTGACCTGGGCATCCATCTTCAGAGCCTGGTCCATTTTTACTCCAAGGTTGGAGATTACAGAGGATACATTAGGTGAGAGATAGTTGAGGTCAGGTTGATGAGTCGCCGTGATACTGTTAGGACTGAAAACGATTAAGTCAGTTTTGGAGTCATTGAGATGGAGGAAGTTGTCAGCTAGCCATTGCTTGACCTCATGGATACAATCAGACAGAACTTTCGTTTATTGAGTTGGCTTAAATGAAAAGTAGATTTGACAGTCGTCAGCGTAAAGATGGTATGAGACAGCGTGCTTTCTGAAAATGGCTCCTAAGGGCGGTATATAGAGGTTGAACAGTAACGGGCCGAGTATTGAACCTTGTGGGACACCCCAACGTAGAGGCTGTGACTCGGATGAACAGCCATCTAACATGACCCTAGCAGACCTGTTACAAAAGTATGACCTAAACCAATCCAGGGCTGTGCCTGAAATGCCAGCCCAAGTGTGAAGTCTTGTGATCAAAATGTCATGATCGATCGTGTCGAATGCTGCAGATAGATCCAAAAGTACCAGAACCACATGGAAACCTGAATCTAAAGCCAGAAAAAAGTCATTAAACACCCGAACGTGAGCAGTTTCAGTGCTGTGCTGTTTTCTAAAACCAGACTGACAGATGTCCATTACCTGCATTTCATTTAGCTGTTTCATCAACTGTGCATAGACTATTTTCTCAAGGACCTTAGATAAAAACGGTAATTTGGAAATTGGTCGGAGATTAATCGGTGGGATCAAGGCCGGGTTTTTTCAAGATTGGTTGTAGAACAGCGTGTTTAAAGGCACGAGGAACTTCAGCCAATGTCAAGCTACTATTTATAATGCCTAGCACGCTATGGCTAACTAAAGGAAACACCTCTTTCAGGAGTCGAGGTGGGATAACATCATCTGGGGAGCCAGAGGGTTTCATGGCTGCAACAGTTTTTTCTAGACAGGCCAAAGAGATGGGCTGAAAGCTTTGAAGTTGCCCGTGAGAGGGGATAAATGAATCGGGAACATGGTTGGTTTGGTGAATCTGAGCTCTGATTACAGTAATCTTATTTAAGAAAAACTGCAGGATTTGGCTACACAAGTCACTGGACGCAGAGGAAAATAGTTTTTGAACTGGGGAAAGCACTGCATTTATGGTTTTATATAACACACCTTGATTATTTGAATTAGCCGTGACAATGCTGGCAAAAAATCGATTTCTCGTGCCTCTGACTGCTCTTTGGTACTGAGGCCAAGCCTCTCTCATGGCCTCGAAGGATACAGTAAGCCTTCTTTTATCCATTTACGTTCCAGTCTCCTGCAATTTTGTCTCAAGGAACAAGTTTGTTCGTTGAGCCATGGGTCTGGCTTGGATTTTTTTAGACATGATTTCAAGGGAGCGACAATATCCATAGCAGCCAGGCAGGATGAATCAAACACACGAAGTGATCCCTCAACTACAGAAGATGAATCAGTAGAATCATATGGAGCTGAATTCAGAGTAAGAACAGTGGCAAAATCTGCAGCAGTATTGGGTCTGATTATGCAGATGAAGATTCTGGAAGAGGTCTACTTTCCTCCCTCCTGTCCTTTTCTTATTTGCAACTCCGAAACATTTAAATGGAAAGTTTGTCAGAACTCTGAAATAAATACAACCTAAATGCTAGTAACAAACAGCTTTCAAACAGTTTTACACTGGGGAAATTGAAGGAGCAATTTGTGAGATTGACGTAAGAATGACACCTTGTGGTCAGATGTGGTTACTACAGTCAGTTTTTCTAAACAAAAAGTGACTTTCTTGCTGCCGTTTTGTGAGTTTCGTGGCTGCTGCCGGATCAGCATCAGAAGATTCAAGATGGCAAGCGAAGACGAGTCCTAAACAGTAAGATGATAAGTAGATAAATACATTGTTATGTCGGGTGCTAGCACTCTTAGGTGTTAATGGTAGGGAACACTTACTACACTTATTACAGTAACACATGTCTGGGATTGGAGGAAGTGTGGTTGTTTGCTGTCTTGCTGTTATAGTTTTGAACGACTCATAAATAGTAAAACACCACAACTGACTCATTATTCACTTCACAAACATTTCGCTGTAATATTGAGCTGTTGGTAGTTGAAGAAGTAGCTTGAGATATTTTTTGAGCAAACTTATTTTTTCTAATTCACCATTTGCATTGTTAGCGCAATGTTAGCCACTAGCCTGCTTCATCTTATTGACCCTTTGCATGTGACGTCACGGCACTCATGTGACCGCCCCCTTGGCCATGATGGACGGCAAAAAGACCGTTTACACCCGTTGAAACTCAAGTAAAGCTAGTCAAAACAAGCCAGTTTGTAGCCTTTTATCGCTTTTATTTAGTTGATTTGACAGTAAAATGGTTTTAGCTTGCTGCGTGGTCGGCTGCACTAACAGACAAGGATGTAAACTCAACTCGTTTTGTTTTCTTAATAACTTCGATGGCGACTGAGGACGGAGATGAACTGCTGCGTCAAGCGGACTAGCAGCCCTCAGATTAGCAGCGAACATGTTTTTACCGGGTAAGATTAACATTAATTTATTTCACGAGGAAGACAGGGACAGGGATAAATGTAATGTGTTTAGACTAGTTATTGATAATCCTGATGGACGGGTATTTCACCACGGAGGATGTGCTCCACTGTAGTGTAAAGCAAGATAATTATTAACAATATTAAAGCTCTGATGTATGATTACGTGTGTTAAAATGACGTTATTCATTTATATGAGCGTCGCCATTCAGAGATCTTCGCATTCCGGTGTGAGAACAGCAGCTGAACCCGGTAACACCACCAGCAACAGAAACTCATATCTGTCAAACAGGGTTTTCAAGGATCAGTTGGGTAATTGTTCCTCTACATTCCTTCCACTTCTATGGGGAGTCCCACAGGGATCTGTGCTTGGGCCTCTCCTGTTTTCAATTTACATCCTCCCCCTGGGTTCCATCCTGAGGAAATATGGCCTGGGCTATCATATTTATACAGATGATTGCCAGATTTACCTGGCTTTGAACAAGCCAGGCTCCCTCTCTCTTCTGGATAAATGTTTGGCTGAAGTGAGGGTTTGGCTTGCCAACAATTTCCTTAAGCTAAACGATTCTAAGGCCCTGTCCACACGTAGCCGGGGATCTGCCAAAACGTAGATATTTTTCTACGTTTTGGCCTGTCATCCACACGAAAACGGAGTTTTTTCACACGAAAACGGATCTTTTTTAAATCTCCGGCCAAAGTGAAGATCTGCGTTTTCTCCGCTTTGGGTGTGTGCGTGTGGACAGACAAAACCAGAGTTTTAAGGTCCGCAACGTCACTTTCCGCGACTAAAACATGCTGACATCACGTGTGCGACCTGTGTTTACACTAGCCGATGCCCTCAGAGCTGTGCTTGCTTTATCAATTGTCCAAGCACTTTTTGCTTGTTTGTTTTTGCAAACGGAATTACTGCTCCTTGTGGAAGACCACAGACGAAGGACGAGGTTTAGAACGGGGGAAGTACTGCCGCCTACAGGTCTGGCATGCCCGTAATAACGTATTTATCCAGGTACGTGTGGACAGAGTTTTTTTTTTAAACGAGGTGGTGTGGATGTAAGTTTTTGGAGGGGCGGATATTCGTTTTTGAAAAAACCCCGCTACGCGTGGACTAGGTCTAAGTTTGAGGCACTCCTGATGACCCCTAACAAAACCACACACGTATCTTCTGATTTGGCCACTCTCCCTTTTGACCTCAAGCAGGGTGTTACCAACCTTGGGGTGAAAATGGATACACACTTTTCCATGGGCCCTCAGATTAACGCAGTGGTCAGATCGTGTTTTTACCAGCTGCGCAGACTAGTCCGCTTAAAACCGACCCTGAAACGAGCACACCTGGAATCTGTAATTCATGCTTTTATCACCTCCCGACTGGATTATGCAAATTCCATTTTAATTGGCTGACCTGCCTCCGCTCTTAACAGGCTTCAGGTTGTACAGAACGCGGCAGCCAGGTTTTTAACAAACAACACTAGAAAAGACCATCTCACACCTGTACTGGCGCAGCTCCACTGGCTACCCGTAAACTTTAGAGTCAAGTTAAAATCCTGACTTTTGTTTTTAAGGCCCTGAACGGTCTGGCTCCGGATTACCTGTCTGATCTTGTAACTCGTTATGTGCCAAACCGGGCGTTGAGGTCTGCTGATTGCCTGCTGCTTCGCGTTCCATCAATGAAATACGCGGGGGCAGCGTGCTTTTGTCTACGCTGCTCCGACACTCTGGAATGCTCTTCCTCTTTCAGTGAGGCTGGCACCATCCCTCCCCCGGTTCAAGTCGCTGCTTAAGGCTCACTTTTACGACCAGGCATTTTTAAATCCCTGACTTTTATTATTTTATTATGTGTCTTTTTATTGACTGTGATTATCTGCCATGTTGTGCATTTTATTGTTGACCGTGTATTGTTTCATATTGTGTTTTTACTTTTTATTCTGTACAGCACTTTGGTCGGCTGCCATGCCATTTTTAAACGTGCTTTATAAATAAAGTTGGTATGGTATGGTATTGTATGGTATGGTAAACTGGTAGGGATCCGGACTTTTTTAAATCAGCTTTGGGAAAGTTAAACGCTGTTTATAACATAAAGTTATAAATCCAGAGGGGTGAATTTAGGCAAAGTCAGCAACATGTTTACATCGGTGAACAGCTGCAGAGAGAACGTAAGCTAGCGTTGGTAAGCTAGTTAACATATCGCTCTCTATGAGCCCCAGCTAGATGCGCTACTTCTGATAACTGAACTGGGCATGAACTAGTTGAAGGAATGCTGGAGGAGTTTTGTTTTTGTTTTGATCGCAAAGCTCTACTTTTCCCTTTGTTTAGTACTCATGTCGCTCACTGTTTACACGCTTTAGCCGTCCAGCATGGTGGAGCCACGTGATTAGGTGACGTCAGTGCAAAGGGTCAATATTAGAGTAAAACAAAAAGATGCTGTGGCTTCTTAGAGGTACAAGAAAGAACTTCTGGGTTGCTCCTGTTTACTGACTTTGGTTTTTTAAACGACTCTGGAGCTTTTTGCCTACCGATGTCAAATTACAAAAGCTGGTGCTGCAGCGTTAGCTTGCAAACACTTAGCAACCTCAAAAACGCACATATTATAAACAGTTTTGTCCCTCTTTTCACTGTAAAATTATTCCATGTTGCTAATTAATTTAAATCTTATTTGTTATGTTTTCTACATGCTCAATCCACCAACTAGTTACCATTTAATCAGCATTAAGCACTTTCATATTTGTGCACATGCAGACATGATGGGTCCCACTCCATGTTTCAAAAAACCTGAGAGAAGGACACAAGAGCTTGCACCTCCAAGCAACCAAGAAAGGAGGGAGAAAAAAACACAGCTGGCATGCTTCCTCTTTCAGCAGAGGTAGACTTTGATATATTGGGAGATGTAACCTTGAACATTTAATCAGATGGATAACATCTGTGTTTCGGCACCAGGAAAATGGTTTTGCAGAGAGGGCAGCAGGGAGGTCCTCCACAAAGACTTCACGCTAAAAGCCCAGCAGGGGAAAGGGTGAAGCAGAGGGCAGACACTATCACAGCTTTATTTCTCCTGTGCAAAATGATTTTCAAATAGGCACAAAAAAGGAAAAGCCTTAGTGCAAAACCTGCAAAAAATGCTCGTCTTTTGGTTTGTTTTCGAAGGGCGGCTCAGAATAGGATGCGATGTTAAATAGATTGTCAAATTACATCTTAAAAAAGTAACGCATGCTTTATCTGATTATATATATACTATTATCTATATTATCTGATCTGATTATACCGATTGACAAAATATATCACGTTATTTTCTATTAGAAACTATGTCAGTACTGCAAACTGGAAACACACATCGCTCTGCAGCAATGCATTAACAGAATGTAATTAAAACCCTTGGTAGGAGCTTCAAGTAGGATAAAAGACTACCAGTAGGATGGAAAAATCTTTAAGCCTCAGTTGCTCCCACTGGAGGCAGAGAGTGCGCCCGCTCTGAAAAAAGACAACATTAATATTAATGTATTGCCTAGCAACGTGCCAAAATGGAGTTTCTTCCATCCTCTGGGCGTTGTCCTGAAAACATTCAAACGCTGATGTTTTGGGAGATTTTTATGAGGCCAGAACAGTCTCAATAAGAATTAAGTCACACAACGTTTTCCACAAATGCACACGTTCATTCGGAAATCCACATTCTGTGTTTCACAAATATAATTCGGAGGAACACAAATGCACACGCTCATTCGGAAATTCACACTCGTTGACTCATAAATATAATGTGAAAAAATAAGTCACGCAACATTTTCCACAAATGCACACGCTAATTCTGAAGTTCACACTCTGTGGTTCACAAATATAATTTGTAAGAACACTTGTAATATAAACTCAGATCATACGAATTGCTGAACGTGCATTTACGAACAGATTCTCATTTGTGAACCTTCCTGCATTCGTGAGAGAAATCGGTGTGCTGAATTTTGAGACTCTCCTAACGTCGCAGGTCAACAAACGTCACCATTGGCTAATGAACCTGTCAATCAAATATATGCTTCTGCCAGGGCTGTTCGCTTTCAGCCAATCATATGGCTCCTTATGTCACGAGACAGATCTGCTGTGCGCATGCGCATTGCAGTTCACACGGCAGAGCGGGATGGACCGGTCACGATCTGTGAGTAATAGTTTTATCTTATTCCCTCGTTGTAATTTATGCAATGTTATAGAATTATGAGTAGAAGCGTTCTTCATGATCAAGTAAAATGTTTTATGTTAAATTCAGTCCAGACGTTACGTGAAGTCTGGTCCATTCTTCATCTAGTTTAACATCAAGCTAAACTCAAGTGAACATTTGTTTAGTTAGCGTGTCTAGGTACCATTTTTTTAGGCCACGGTGGTCAGACTCAAGCCCTTGGTCTATTTTTATCTGCCCCGCAAAATCAAATATCAAATATAATATAATATTAAAACTGGCCCGCCGGGCGATTTTGCTGATAAGACTACTAATCCCACAGTGCTTTGCGGCGTTAGCGCGTGAGACGAAGCAAGCCCTCTTTTGTGTTTACGATCATTAGCATCCACGCTAGTAGAATCAGCGTGTGCAGGTTACCCTCAGTCTTAAACAACTGAAGATACTCCTCTAAGCACCCAGTTTACTCAGCGAGTTTCCGACTTTGAACGCCTAGAAAGAAGGTATCTGGCTGGAACAGGTGACCATCAGAGTGGAGCGAACTGAGCTTAAAATATTTAATTGTCATGCACTTTTTCTGCTCCAAAGCATGAACGTTAATAACTGAGATATTTTCATAGAAGATAATTGCTATTTTTGGTTTTCACAGATCTTAACTTATTTAATTATCTAACATGTTATTGTATGGCTGTTGTACCTTTCATTTGGTAATTGATTGTTTTGGCCCCTATAAAAATGTGTCATATGAGAGTGTTTGTGCTTGAATTACATAGATCATGTACCTGAAGGTAGCTGACAACAACCGGGCAGACACCCACCTTGCCTTCTTCAGTGAAGCTGTGAATGAGCATGGCTTTCCTCTGAGGTATTCATGTTATTCCCAACTTTACCCTCTGTTACCCTGTTACAAATCTGCTTTTGCCTAAAGTGTGTTATTGACCAAAGATAACATGCCATTTGAGGTCATATAGTGAAATCTGGGGGGGGGGGGGGGGGGGGGGGTGAACATTTCCCTCTTTCAAAAAATTTTTCCCCAGCAGAGGGTTAATAATGCCACAATGTTTACTCACTTAGTAGATAGGTACATAAGGAAATTTCTGTGAGACTCAAATTGATGTAGATTGTTATAGATGTGCATTAAAAATGTTTGAAGCGAGATTCTAATGTTTTTTTTTTCATAGTGAGAGGAGATCATGGCGGAGAAAATGTAGGTGTTGCAGAATTAATGTTCTCAGTTCGTGGAACTGACACCAACAGCTTCATTGCAGGAAAAAGTGTACACAATCAACGGTGAGTTTAACCTAATTTGGAAGCTTTGTGTCTGTGCGCGCGTGCCTGTGCCTGTTGACCTGCCCAGGGTGTACCCTTCGTCTCACACTTTGACTGCTAGAGATAGGCACCAGTCCCCCTGCGACCATTCAAGAGATAACTCAAGTTGAAAACGGATGTATGGACATGTAAATGTGTGTGTATATTATAATTTTCTTTTATTTAATCCCCCTCCAAATCCAGGATCGAGCGCCTGTGGCGTGATGTCTTCATGAGTGTTACTGGTCTATATTACAACATCCTGCACTCTCTGGAAGACCAAGACTTGCTCGACATCAGTAACATCCTTCACCTGTTTTGTTGCCACTATATTTTCTTGTCTCGCATCCAGGCCAGCCTGGATGTCTTTAGAGATGCGTGGGACAACCATCCAATCAGGACAGAGGAAAACATGACACCAAATCAGCTGTGGCATCTGGGCCAGGCTCTGAATCCTGTTTCTGATCCAGGAGCAAATGTATGTTCTGTTAAAATGACTGATCACATGTCAAGTTGATCCTTAACTAAAAATCAAATGTTCAACACTTTGATAATCTACCTCTGCACTATGCTTCTTGGATTCAAGACAAAATGGCTGTTGAAATTACGGTTCTGTTTGTGTGCACCTCTACTGAAGTGGACACTGTCAACTATAATGTCATGACATTACAAAGTCATGACACATCTGCAAGTTCAAAATGCAAGGCATTAGACCTTCCAGATGTGATATTCTCACTGCTGTTTTAACATAAAAGTAGCCCATTAATTAAAAAAATAATAATTTATGAAATAATGGAGATGCTAGGTTCTGCCTGACATCATTGATGTTAAGTAATTGTTAAAAGGTCATGATAGGGCTTGTATTAAATGTGTTTTCTTGAGATTCATTATGCACAATGCTCATACACACTTTCCTTTTCCAGGGTATACCGACACCAGAGATTGAATGGGAGGAGAATGGATACATGACTGAACCTCATCCTGGGATCAGTGTCCCTCTACTGGACAGTCCTCTTACAGATCATGAAATGTTGGAACTGCAGGACAACATTAATCCGTTGAAACATTCAGACTCTTTTGGGAGTGGACACATATCTTCACACTGTCCAGTATGTTGAGAACTTACTTGAGGCTAGATGATTACATGTGTGAAGAAGGAAGGAGAGAGAAGGTAGGGAGTTAGGAAGAAAGAAAACAATTAATGAGACAGGAAGGAAGGAAGTTAAAAAGTGAAGGAGTGGTCCATTTTAAGGTTAATATACTGTATATTGTTATTCAAGGGATTTGCCGTCGTAAATATGAAATGCTAAAGGATAGACCCCAAAATAGATTTCTAAATTCATTTATAGTTGTGTATTTCCTTAAAGTCTTTGTCAGCCTGATTTATTTTAGACCAGGAATGTATTTGAAAAGGCTGCTGTTCACTTCATCTATGCTACAATTCTTCAAAATGTAGATGTTCTATCATTGCTAGTGTTGGTTTAGTAACATGCATCTTCCTGTGTATCCAGCTCTAGTAAAAACATTTAAAGGTGAAGCACCTACTTCTTATCAGGAGATCCATTTCTTTTTACATGTTATTGTTTGAATTTTGTCTCGTTTCATAACTTTTGCTCAACATTTAAGGGGAACTGTGTTACCCTGCGATCATCTTCATTACACTTGAAAACTTGTACTATACCTCCGTCCGTCTACTTATTAAATGGAATAACATGACAAGATTCTATCTACTGGTTTTTTGATCAAGGGATGATTAGGTGTTGTGAGAAGATTCTCTATGCTTCTGAGTTAGGGTTAAGTTGCAACTGGACACACATACCCACACACAGTTTGTTCATTTGTTCTCAGAATGAGAATAATGTCTTTTACAATTAAAAAGTTTTTTCTTGATGTCACTGAAGGCTGTGTTAGAAATATATGCAGCTCATTAAAAGGAAAAGTAACTGATGTAACCAAAAGCCTGAACTCAGGAGAATAGAGACACCTGCCAAGATAAAGAGCTGGAGCTTTTGCTCCTTTTCAGAGTCACTCCCATGGAATAGGTCTGATGATTTACTAGCTTCTCTTACCTTCTCTGCAGACAATGTTTAATATGAGCTTCAAGAGGTCTCTGCCCCTAATGGGGTTTGCTTTCACATAGTAAAAATGCATAATTTTTCTGAATATGATTATTAAGAGGCCACCCATATGGTGGAGCGTTGGTAATGTAATGTAACCCCAGATTCTGAGTATAGCGTAGCGCTTTGAGCAATCGCCTATTGGATTAATTCCATCCCCTTAACTGCGCAGATTAGACCACCGGTGATCGGAGAGCAGTGCATGCCGGTTAGATTTGTGTCCGACTTGACGCCGACTTGCTCTGACGTCATGCATACGTAGGCAACGATAACCTCGTGAGATCAAGGTGGCCGCAGATTTTGGAGCAAGACCCTGCAGTTGCTCTCCCTTGGCTGCAAAACCTAGAGGATGACGGGAAACGCCTGGCTCTCACCTGATCTAAGATCTGATTGGTTCATATTTTGATCCAAACATCCGGTGGTAGAACATGAAATGTTAGTTGTTCACGTGTATTCTGTAAATCATGTTACGTTGATGATAACAACTCTATAGGCTTTAAAGAGAAATGTGGTTTGTGTTCTTTTGTCACGTTTCCTATGAGCACACTGAAGCTACAGCTGATAACCTTTACTTATTATTACAGTCATGTCTCCATATTCGATATATGATATCCACAAGCTCGTGAGGATGTGTTTCAGCTGCTAACAGGCACCAGAATTAAAATTGAAAATTGAACAAGTATGAACGCTAACGCGATATCTTCAGCCATCGTCACCCCCGAGCTACACATGCAGGAAATTGTGTCCGACTCATGCGCACAGCAGATCTGTTCTGTGACATAAGGAGCTATATGATTGGCTGAAAGCGAACAGCCCTGGCAGAATCATATATTTGATTGACAGATTCATTAGCCAATGGTGACGTTTGTTGACCTGCGACGTTAGGAGAGTCTCAAAATTCAGCACACCGATTTCTCTCACGAATGCAGGAAGGTTCACAAATGAGAAGCTGTTCGTGAATGCACGTTCAGCAATTCGTATGATCTGAGTTTATATTACAAGTGTTCTTACAAATTATATTTGTGAACCACAGAGTGTGAACTTCAGAATTAGCATGTGCATTTGTGGAAAATGTTGCGTGACTTATTTTTTCACATTATATTTATGAGTCAACGAGTGTGAATTTCCGAATGAGCGTGTGCATTTGTGTTCCTCCGAATTATATTTGTGAAACACAGAATGTGGATTTCCGAATGAACGTGTGCATTTGTGGAAAACGTTGTGTGACTTAATTCTTATTGAGACTGTTCTGGCCTCATAGATTTTGACTTAGATTAAAGTTTAAATGTAAATAACTTTTTTCTCATGCTTGGGCAGACATATTAAAAAACGTAATGGCATTAAAATGCATCAAATCTCCTGCAGCTATTGTAATAAACAAGCATTTTTGAAGCTTCAAATCAACTAAACCTTTAAGCGAGGTATCATGGGAACGGTGGAAACACACTTACCTACGGACTTATGCAAGTTCACGTCAGAAAAAACAGCAAAAAATCACTTCAGAGAGATTCAAACTGAATTAATTTATGTTCATAGTTCAGAATGTCACGGTCTGCCCTGCTCACTATTCATCTCACTTCATACGCTGCAGTTGTCCCAGTTCTGTGTTTACAGGTGGGCGTGTCGGAGAGCCAGCTGTTCCTGAGCTCCCTGATCAGAGGGCCAGGGGTACTTAAGGAGCGGTGTGACACAACTCCAGTGCCGGTTGATACTCGCATCTTGGGTCAACACTAGCCGGTCGCAGTCTAGTTCGATGTTCAGTTGGAATCTTGTCTGCCGGTTCCAGTTCAGCCCTGATCTACTGAGTCCTGAAGGTTCCTGCTCGTCTGTTCACAGGAATCACCCACCGCCGTCTGGAGTTGCTGTTCCAACATCACGTCGCTCACCATCCCCCTGGTCTCCTCACTCTCCACCGCCCGCCTGTCGTCCTGCCCGCTTCCCAGCCTGCCTAAGCCCCAGCCTCTGGACCTGCATCATAGCCTGCCTCACTGTCTGTCTCGCAACCCGTTTCCTCACCCCGTCCTGGATCCTCACTCTCTGCTGCTTGTCTGTCCCCACCTGGCCTCAAAGACCCAGCCCTGCCTCACCAAGACCGATCATCTCCAGGAAGAATAGTTCTCCAAACAATTCCAGTTCTGGTTCTCTGGTTCCAGGGTTTCGTGATTCTAACACCAGTTTGCTTTCCCGTTCTAGAGCTCGATCCCTCCTGTTCCCGTTTGGAGCAGCGTTTTCAGTTTCACATCGTTCCTAATAAATATTATTTGTTATTCACTTACCATCGTTTCCGTCTGTGATCCTTTCATGTCCCGGCTAAAACATATTCCCAACATGACACAGAATGTGAGCATTCCGATTTAAAATAATAGATAATAGAGCTGAAACAATAATCAATTAATCGTACGATAGATGAAAATGAACTCAATAATTTTTCCAGCTTCTATATATTGGCCTGTCAACCACATTCCCCTTAGCACCAATTTAGGTGCATGACTCGCATTGCTAGGGGAAGCTGAAGCCATAGATCTCTACGGCCTCAAAGGAAACGGAGCTCAGACTAGGGCTGGGCAAAGAGACGAATGAATCGACCATCGGCGATGGGTTGAGACTGAGACTTTGAGAATTATTTGTTTGTTTGTTTGTTTGTTTGTTCGTGAGTTAGTTTGTTAATAAAAAACATTTTACACGTTACACGCAGAGAACTTCATGGAGGTAACAATCAAAAAAAGATCTCCATCAGCGCACCTGAGCTTTTTCTCACCTCCTCCATCTCTCGCTGCTGAGGAGGGGCTCGGACGGCGTCTCAACATCCTGCACAGCAGCTCGGTGTTGAGTGGAAAATGAAACTGTGGCTTAAGTAGCGCTCGCCGTTATTCAGAACCTGCTTCAAGTGTGTCCGCGGAGCGTGGATTTATCCAGAGCAACGGTTAAACATCCACGAGTCTGACTGAGGCAAAATCCAGAACCCCGTAACCTCTTCAGCAAGATTTCTGGAGACGTTTGATCACACACAAGCTGCAGGTGACCAGCTCAGGTGTAGGCGGAGCAGAAGGAACGTGCGTTTGGGCCGCAGCACCTTTACTTTAGGTGAAAATGTCTAATTGCATTGTTTATGTTACTGGGGCACTCTGTTCAGCTTGCTTGGACCAAATATTAATTAAAATGAATGGAAATTTAACAAATTATTTCTTATTTGAAAAATGAAAGTGATGGGGATAGATGGATCATGTGACCTCTGGCTGCGAGCAAATGCTGTCTCCTCAGAGCGCGTCCAAAAGCAGCAGCGATTCATTCCAGTTCCTACTCATAAAAGAGACCTGGTAGTCTATGTTCAGAAGAAAAAACATTTTGCT